AATATACTTCTAATGCACCAATCTGTATGTTAAAGAAGTGGACAATACAACGACCCAACCGAAATGGCTCAGACGTTTATTGAAGACGGCGGTTTCATAATAACCGTTGGTAAGAGAATTATTATATCTTAATTAGCTATAGCACCATCAAAAAGGTGAGTAAGTGGTTTCTTTTACTATTCTCTTTTCAGTTGATTTGTTGCCTAAAATGAACTTCAGCAGAAGACAACGACGGGTAGAGTGGAACGGGGGGCTGGGGAAAGGAGATTAGGGCGGAGAGAGGTCCAAAATTGAGTTAAAAATTTTAGTATGTTCATAGTTGAAAAAAAAGTAATTTACTTTTCCCATTAATTTCCAATGATTACATGGAAAATGAGCTATAATATAAGTTGGGTCAAAACTAATTATTAATGGAATTGGTCACTTTGAGTTTGTCTTTTCAGTTTTCCTAAGCCTTTTTAATCCTTCTGAATCAACTCTCTTTTATCTGGATTCTAGGATTGTCCAGAGTCCTCAGTGAATTTGTTCGTCAGCACTGTCACGTCCAAGCGTAGATTCTGATAACCTTCCTCTTGTCGATTTACATAATAAAGAGATGTAATGCGATATTCTAATGGCTATAGAAAAGAAGGCATTTCTTTTTTATGCGAAGTGTCTGACATACCACTAACTGCATGAGCTTAGTAGCTACGTATCGATAGAGGGAAACTTACAAAAAGTAGTGATAACTTTCAAAAAGGAATAGCTAAATAAAATAGTGCATATAAACAAATTTAAGTCGTCTCACCATTTCTAAAACTAGATTTTTCAGCCAAATATACCCTCACTTTAGAATAGAGATTTTTTTTCAGAATTCGTGCAAGAACATGGTTCTTCTGTTCCACTGTTGAATAAGCTCTCCAGTGGACCAGAATACTCATTCACCAATCGTTACGGAAACCTCACAGCCGACCCAGTTCGGCAGGCTTTCTGCAGGAGTAAGTTGCATTTGATTGATTGTGTAAATGTGAACGAATGAATGAGTGGGTAGAATAGGAATGAATGCTCAAAAAGCCATAGAATGAATGAATATGGATGTATTACCATGTGATCAAGTGCTTACATTTTAGTCAACTGTTTCTGCCCGACCAACTATCTGCCTTATACGCAGGGTGATGTCATTCCAAGTGGTGGTTGCTACAGAACAGTACCTATAACTGCTATACAGGTATGATTCGTTTGAACATTTGTTGTTAACAGTTACCACTGTAAATTTATGTTTCAATTAGGCCAATAAATAACTTAAGGCGTTGGCAGCGAAAAATTGTCGACAACACAATAGTGGCAGCCTTGTCAAGGTTGAAAGCCGTGATAAATCCACGTTTTTAAGCACTCGTAAGCAATTTCTATATCAGCTTGTAGCAAAACTAGATTCGCAATTCTCTCCCATTACTTTTTTAGTATTCCCTTCGAAAACGAAGTTCTGGATTGGTCTCAAGCTTGTCAATGGAGTCTACCAGTGGGCAGACGGAACAAACCTAGTAAGCTTCAAATAATCTTTTTGTCCCGATAACTAACTAATTTTATTTAATTCAGCAAAGCAGCGATTACCAAATGTGGGCACCAGGATATCCTAACTCCAATGCTGGTCAATGTGTTTACATGTACCAG